TTTTAAAGCCTTAGGACTGTCGGAAAGCGTACTTAAGGATGACGAAAGAAGTTCCTGTGATTTGCGTTGTAAAGACGATGATACTAATGAAGAAAACTCGCGCGAAAATGCTACTGTACCAAAATTTATAAACAGATTACAGTGTTGCATTTAAATGTGTGGGATAGTCTCAAAAATTAGAACCCTTGAACTCATTGAATATGTTTCTCAATTTGATATCGTATATTTCACTGATACTAAAATTGATGTATATGATGATATATGTATTAAATGAACTTCTGCAAGATTGGTCAATTAAATTCTTGTACAGTTAAATATAATTGTCTAAATCGGACAATATAGGTAACGAAAAAAATGGAATAGATTTTTTACAAGACATTTGCAAATTTACTATGATTTTTGACCACATGACATTGATCTTAAAGCTTATCCTAATTAGAAGAAATAACACCACTTTCAATTGACATTTATGTCTTAAATTAAAACATTTAATTTAAGACAATTATGTCTTAAATTAAAACATTTTTTTCTCGCTGGTTATGCGATTTGTTATTTTGAAAAAAGTAATTTGTTTATTTCAGGTGATGCATCAGTGCCGGCTCTTGCTCTGGCTATCCCAGGTAAATTGATCAAGCCATAAATCTTGCTTATATTTTAATCTTTATTTAGTGAAGAACTCTTTATACCTTAAATCATCATAACAGTGCTTGTATGCATTTGTAATTTCATTCATTCTTATTGTTCTTGCCGCTTGTAGGCCCGCTGTTGATGAACCGGTTCCCATTCAGGACGTTGGTCATTTTGTTGTTGGTCGGGTTACGGATCTTTTCATACTTAAGATCACTTTTCGGCGAAACCCCTAGTTTATTTAACATCTCGTGTATCGCTGAGTCGTCCACAGATAGGGGAACACCACATATTGTTACTTTTAAAGCTTGATCTCTTGGACCTTCCAGGCCAGCGGAGTACGGATTTGTGTCGTATGGAGATATATGCTGATTTTTAAAATCGAAACCTTCCAGTAGAATTTTACTTCTGCTGTGGGCATTGGTCAGATATATTCGCCACAAATCTCGGTCTAATTGAATGCATTTCACCGCATCACCGACGCACGAAGTAACAGCTTGAAGCATCTCAAAATTCGTGATTCCTTCATCATCGCTTTCAGATAGAAGCTCGTTGTTCTTCAAGTATACTGGTTTCAGCATTTGATCCGTTTAAAATATTCGATTAAGAATGTATTCAGCTATAACACATACATACAAAGTTTAGATAGAATTCTGCTCCTGAGTAAATAACACACCTGAGTAGGTACTCACCAGGTAAACACAGGGTATATCAGCTCAGAGTAATTTAAATCCCAAACGTGCAGTAAATGCACAAAGAATCACACTCTATATATACTTGACACTACACACACTATAGACACAATATATTTCTTTCCAAACAGTCGTAGAAAGAAAATATACGCTTTTTTAGCGAAAAATGTCAAGTCGATCGGAGGACAGCGAAAACACGTCCGCTGCCCACTACGCCGTGACCTAAACTCCAAGATTAAGTTATTTCTATCGTCAACTTCCCTTACTTATGCACCAATATACCTTCTTCACCTGCATACGGAGTATTTATATCTCAGTTGATTCGATATGCAAGAGCATGCTCTACGTATGAACAATTTCTTAAACGAGGTAAATTATTGACAAGCAAGTTGATGAAACAAGAATATCAACAGTCTCGTTTGAAGTCATCATTTCGTAAATTCTATGGTCGATACAATGACCTTGTCAGCAAATACAATTTATCATTGAATGAAATGCTGACTGATGTTTTTCATACCAATTGTTAGTCCATTATTATACACTGGATTGACCACGGAATTTTTCCGTTATATCCTGATTATGACAACGAGCACACGGCGGGTGTGACCGGTCAGCAGGGGATGCTTACTCCTCCATGGCACCTGATCCCACCTCTGATGTTTCGGGGGTCCGTGTTTGCCCTGCTCTTATTTTGTATATTTGTTTAATGGACGTTGAGATTAAATACTGTTCGTTATTTCCATATCCTTCATTTAAGTTATTCGAGTGATCAACATGTGTGGAGATGTTCCAACAAACAGTGCCACAAAAAGAATAGGAATCTGGTTTGAAAATCACAAATTAACACTGGAAAAAATAGTTCTAATTACATATTTGGGTATACAAGGCCAGCGAATCTTTCGTCCGTCATGAGTTAGACATAGCGTACCAGACTGTCGTGGACTGGTTTAACTATTCACGGGAAGTGTGTACCTGCATACTAGTATTAGAGAAGGATTCAGAGAAAATAGGAGGCCCAGGAAAAGTTGTAGAAATTGACGAATCAAAATTTGGGAAATGGAGGTTCCATTAGGGAAGAAGAGTTGACGGTGTATGGGTTTTGGTGGGCATAGAGAGAGAAACTAAGCGTTGCTTTTTTACAACAGTTGGCACTTGCAGACAGGACAAGAAACACCCTTTTAGAAATTATTATATGTAACATTTTACCAGGAACAACTATAATAATTGACTGTTAGAAAGCCTATGACATCTTGGATAAGGAGGGTTACGAACATTTAAAAATAAATCACTCCCTTAATTTTGTCGATCCAGATACAGGGGCACTTACCAATACTATAGAATCTACCTGGAGGGCACTCAAAAAATCTCTGCCAGTAAGTGGAACGACAAAATCTTCATATGATACTTAGTGTATTCGAAAGAAATATCTCAACTACTCTGTGGATCCATTTTTGAAGTTTTTTGACCTTGTAAGAACAGTCTACAATCCTAATCTGCTCGTCCTACAATTAACTACAACCAACAGTCAACCCAAATCCCCCAAAAGACAACGAATTACCATACATTCGATCGGCTTGAACAATAGTCTAGACGATTTCGTTTTGTAAGGTAAGTAGAAGAATTTATTTACTCTCATAATTAGAGAACTTTCCTATCTCGGCATCCGAAGCAATCATCATTCCAGCCACTGTAAAAGCTGTGTAAAACGTGGAGCGAGCTTGATATAGAAGAAAGCGCTCGAGGAGGAAACTAGAGATATGGCAGCAAAAAAACTAAGGGTAAAAAAAATCAAAAGTGAAAACGCCATTTTTCAACCAGCAACAGATAAAAAACAAAAAAAAAGAAGAAAAACGAATCAACCACCGCTGAAACAGAAAAAAAGAGTCACAGATAACAAAGGACTTGAAATTTAAAGAAATGATGGCATTTGCAGGAATAATTTCTGCAGAAGTGTTTGGATGGCTAGGTTCGTTAATTACAACACTGAGTTCACACACAAGTTTATTCAATATGGCGCTCAACTAAAAACTCAACAAGGTACATATCCAGTCGTACATAAAAAGGCTAAGCACAATTAGACAGTTCGTACGTTAATACATTCATTTACTAAACATCTCCCCTCTAAAAGTTTATGACTAGGATTTCACAGAAAATGACTAAAATAAAATATAAGCTACAAATAAAACTCATCTTGCATGCATTACTTGTTACATACAAATCAGATCATTATTACACAAAGAGTTCACAAATGTTCATTCGTAGTCTTTGAATCTGATGGTTTTGTGAATGACACGTCCTGAACGAGTTACGGTTTTGGACTTCATGGAAGGAGATGTAACTTCCTGGCTTGGCGGCTCAACGTCAGACGAAACACTTGGTTTACTGTCGGTTAACGGATACGGCACATTTACGGTCCATGTTAAAGTCACGTATTAAAAGATTGAGGGGCAAAATGAAAACCATCTATCCTTCTGTGTTCAATAAACCAGAAGTGAAAAAAGAATTAGATAGATTACACGATCAGTACGTACTGGTTCCTGCCGACAAAGCAGGTAACAACATTGTCTTCGTTTGTAAGGCTCATTATATAAATTGCATTTTAGAAGAACTTGGATTTAATTCTACAAGTGGTAATCCTACTTATACATATACTACTCTTTCTAAGGAAGAAATTCTTCAAAATCACCTGTCAGTTTTGAGTACTTTTAATATTCCACAGAGCCAAAATGAATTTGAACTACCTTATATATATTGGATTCCGAAACTTCATAAGAATCCTTACAAACAAAGATACATTGCAGGTTCCAGTAAATGTTCAACCAAGCCTCTTTCGTTACTTCTCACTAAAATATTGACAGTAGTGAAGGACAAACTTCAAGAGTACTGTACAACTATATATTCAAGAAGTGGTGTAAATCAGATGAGGATACTTAAAAATTCTAAAGAACTTTTGGACAATTTGAAATCACAAGACTTTACAAAAATCAACAGCATAAAAACTTACGACTTTTCAACTTTATACACAACAATTCCGCACGACAAATTAAAATCCAGGCTTTTTGATATCATTGACAGCTGCTTCTTCAACAAAAATGGAACTCGTAAGTTTACTTACCTCGTCATTGGTCATTTGAAAAATTATTTTGTTAAAACAGATTCTGATTGCACACATAAAGTACTCTGAAGTTGACATCAAGAAGATGCTTGAGTTCTGATTGACAATATATATGTGGTTTTTGGAGACCATGTATTCCAACAATCTATTGGAATTCCCATGGGTACAAATTGCGCTCCGTTATTAGCAGACTTATTTTTATATTCATATGAAGCAGAATTTATGCAAAATCTTTCGCGTGAAAAGAGAAAAAAAACACTTGCTGTGGCCTTCAACTCGACATTTAGATATATCGACGACGTATTGTCAATTAATAATGATAATTTTCATTCCTGCGTCGACACGATATATCCTGGTGAGCTTGAGATAAAAGATACCACAGAGTCCGACACTTCTGCTTCATACTTGGATATTTTACTTGAAAAAGACACAAATGGTAATCTAACAACCAAGCTATATGATAAACGTGATGACTTTAACTTTTCTATCGTCAACTTCCCTTACTTATGCAGCAATATACCTTCATCACCTGCATACGGAGTATTTATATCTCAGTTGATTCGATACGCTAGAGCATGCTCTACGTATGAACAATTTCTTAAACGAGGTAAATTATTGACTAGCAAGTTGATGAAACAAGAATATCAACAGTCTCGTTTAAAGTCATCATTACGTAAATTCTATGGTCGATACAATGACCTTGTCAGCAAATACAATTTATCATTGAATGAAATGCTGACTGACGTTTTTCATACCAATTGTCAGTCCATTATTTATACACTGAATTGACCACGGATTTTTTTCCCGTTATTTCCTGATTATGACAACGAGCACACGGCGGGTGTGACCGGTCGGCAGGGGATGCTCACTCCTCCATGGCACCTGATCCCACCTCTGATGTTTCGGAGGTCCGTGTTTGCTCTGCTCTTATTTTGTATATTTGTTTAATGGACGTTGAGATTGAATACTGTTCGTTATTTCCATATCCTTCATTTACGGTATGTGGCAATTCGGTGTTCACGTATCCAGTATGCTGCAAGTGCCTCCGATTTCTCCTCAATATTCCATGATCAGTTTCCACTAGGTATGATCGAATTTTGTAATTTGTGCTAGTGATCGTGCCACTATCTGTCCACTGTTTCTCTTTGTCGGTCTTGATGCGAACTTGGTCTCCGGGTCCAAGCGGGTGGAGTTTCCTAACCCCATATCGGTTGTCATAATGATATTTTGAAGTTTCCTTCGTTTGTGCGTCCTGTCTCCTCACTTGGTCCAAGTCTGGCCACTTTGGTGCTAGTGAAGACGGTTTGACTGGAACAACGGTTCGAATCCTACGTCCCATGATGAGTTCCGCTGGACTGGCTCCTGTGGTTGAGATAGGCGTTGAACGGTACGCCATAAGCGCAATAAAGATGTCATCCTGCTGTAATATACGCTTCGCGGTCTTAACAGCGCTCTCCGCCTCGCCGTTTGCTTGCGGGTAGTGAGGACTAGTGGTTGTATGCGCGAACCCGTACTTAGCTGCGAACTTCTTGAAAGCGTCTGATGTAAACTGGGTGCCGTTGTCGGCTACCAATTCCTCTGGAATACCCCAACGAGCCAATATGTTCTCGAGTTTTCCAATTACATGAGCACTAGTCAAAGAATCCAGATACGCAATTTCCAGATAACGAGAGAAATAATCTGTAACTACTAGGAAATGTCTACCCTGCAGCTCACACAGATCTGCAACTATCTTTTGCCACTGACGATCTGGAAGGATTGTAGTCTTCAACGGTTCTCGGTTCTGTTTGGGTTAATGAACAAGACAGAATTCGCAGGACTTTACGGTACGCTGTATAGCTGTTGAAATTCCTGGCCACCATACGGCTCCTCGTGCGCGTTCTCGGCACTTGTTCAGACCTAAGTGTCCTGAATGTATGTCTTGCAATGTTTCTGGTCTAAGAGCCTCAGGAATAACAATTCGGTCTCTGTACATTAGAATTCCCTTCCAGACAGACAGTTCGGATCTTACGGAAAAGTATGGTCGGATTTCTGCTTTCAGTGATCTCTCATGGTCTGGCCACCAGTTCTGAGTCTTCTTCAAAACTTCAGACAACTCTGGATCATCTGCTGTTGCTAATCGAATGCACTCTAGTCGTTGGTCCGATATCGGAATATTCTGTATAACACAGTCGACATAGAGATTGACTTCCTCTTCTGTATCCTCAGCGTTTCCAGTTAGCGGACTCCTGGAAAGAGTGTCGGGAACCACAAGATTTTTCCCTGGCACATGTTCTGCCATTGGATTAAATCGGCGTAAGCGCATCAAAAGTCTCTGACATCTCACAGGTGTCTTATCTAGAGCTTGAGTGTTAATGAGCGGAACGAGAGGTTTGTGATCAGTGATGAGCTTGAATGAGTCGAGTCCAATGATGTAGCGCTCGAACTTCTCACAGGCCCATACAGATGCTAAACACTCCTTCTCTATCTGTGCATATTTGGTTTCTGCCGGTGACAGTGTCCTCGATGCAAACGCAATAGGTTTAAGTTGACCATCAAACTGCTGAAATATAGCGGCTCCTAGGCCATAACTGCTGGCATCTGCACTAATCACAACTGGCTTTGAGGAACTGTAGAAGGCTAATGCATGTGTTTCTGTTAGCATATCCTTCACTCTTTTGAAGGCCTCTTCCTGGGGGTTGTCCCATATCCATACCGAGTCACTCTTCAAAAGATCAGTAAGGGGGTGCATAACCGTAGAAAGGTTTGGTAAAAATCGACCGAGATAATTCACCATTCCAAGAATTCTCTTAAGTTCAGTCACATTTGTTGGTGCAGCCAACTCACGTATTGCACGCACACGTTCTGGACATGGACTGATGCCATCTGAACTAATCATGTGTCCAAAATATTCAATACTCTGTTTCCTGAACTCGCATTTCTTCTTATTGAGTTTCAGACCAACTTCCTTGATACGGTCCAACACGCGGTCCAGACGCTCATCATGTTCCTCCACCGTACTCCCATATATGATGATATCGTCCATTATGGCGTCCGCTCCGGTAATATCTGCTAATATCTCTGACATACGACGCTGAAATATTTCAGGGGCTGACGTTATACCAAATGGAACCCGCTGAAAGCAGTACCGTCCAAACGGGGTTATGAAGGTAGTAAGGTGACAACTCTCTGGATCTAGAGGTATCTGGTGAAACCCACTACTAGCATCAAGTTTCGAAAAGACTGTAGCCTTGCACAGCTTTGGGGCAATGTCGTCCAAGTTGGGTAACATATAATGTTCACGTTTGACTGCCTGGTTTAGTTTCTTAAGGTCCACACACAAGCGAACATCCCCGTTTTTCTTGAATGCTGTAACGATGGGTGCGCACCAATCAGTCGGTTCTGTGACTTTCGCAATGATTCCAGCGTTCTCCAAGCGATTTAGTTCGGCCTCGACCTTGGGCATCAATGGAAATGGAATCCTGCGAGCTGTCGTAACGCAATATGGTGTGGCTCCTTGCTTAAGTGTTATCTTCACGGGTGGGCCCTTAACGCATCCATGTGTACCAAACACATCCCGAATTTCCTCGATTTTCATAACGAGTTCCATACGGTGTGCGACACTTCGACTGAGCAAATTAGAACCACTGTTAGAGTTCTTAAGCACGTATACTCGAAAATGAACCCCTGTGGGGACCCGGGGTGATAAGAATAGGTCCCTGGCACCTCCTTGCTTGTCGTAAGAGGCGACTAAATGGAGCAACCTGTTTGCCGTGGGTTGCGACCCGTGTTGGTGGAGAAGGGGATCCTGGTGGCTGAGGTCTGCAGGTGCTTGGTGTAATGCACCTGATAGACCAACACTCCACTTTGGCCTCATATTCATCTAGACGGGAGGTCAAGTTTGGCCCGACTTGATCAATCGGCTGGTCACGCCGAGCTGATTATATCTACATGCCTTAGTATTGATGTTTTGCATTTTTATTTTAAATATCTGATTCAGATTGCAGCTTCCCAATACGCCGACGTTTCCATGTTGATATTCGTATATCAAGCGGTGGCTCAGGGTCAATCAGGCATTTAATGTCTGAGTATAGTTTCTTTGTATCCTCTTGGTGTCTGACTTACTGGATATCCGTTTGATTAGATATCGCCCTTGTTGGCGCTCCAAGGCGGGCGGGGAGCAAGGATTCCGAACTTTTTTCTTCTAACCATGGCTACTTCAAATTCCAAAAAACGTTGCTACCCATCAGGACTTGAAATTACTTTTAATGACGAACAAATCAACTCTGTTGTTGAACACTGGCCTCGCTTTATCACACTTGAAGCACAGCTCTCAGACCAAAATTCAAAGCCCCTCACAAAGGTTTCACCTTTTCTTATTCAAAAGGGAATACAAGGCATTATTGGTACACCAAAATCTGTTAAAAAGTTGAAATCTGGTGCTCTTCTTATTGAAGTCACCAAGAAACAACATTCAACTTCTTTGTTGGCTTTAAAAATGTTGGCAGACATCCCTGTAGTTGGAAAAATTCACAGTGGACTTAACCAGAGCAAAGGCATTTTGTTTGACAGAGATCACGATCTGGACGACATTCCTGAACAGGAAATCCAACATGAATTGGAATCCCAGGGAGTGATCTCTGTGAAACGATTCACAAAAAGACGTAATGATGTTGTTGAACCAACAAACACTTACTTGTTGACCTTTTGTGTTCCAAATCTTCCAACCAATATTAAAGTTGGACTGTACCAAATGAAAATAGAAACATTTGTACCTAATCCTTTGCGATGTTTTAAATGTCAACGATTTGGACATGGGCAAATGAACTGTAAAGGATCTGAAGCATGCTTCAGGTGTGGTGAGGACGGGCATGATGGCAAAACCTGTCAAAATACTCCAAAATGTAAGAACTGTAAGGGAGAACACATGGCGTCTTCAAAACAGTGCCCCATCTGGAAAAAAGAAAAAGAAATCCAAAAAGTTAAAACTGAGAGCAAAATACCTTATCCAGAGGCTAAAAAATTAGTGAATTTGTCCAGTGTCCCTAAACCACAATTGACATACGCAACTGTTGTTAAGGCATCCTCTTTGAAGGAAGCAGCTACCCAAGTCTCTGAGAAAGATTTTCTCATGAAGTCTACTTCATCTGAAGCACCTTTGGCATCTAATGACAAAGGCAAATCTACACCACCTGCATCTGCAGGTCATGCAGCTATTGCTGCACAAAAATCTGTAGCTGTGGCTGCATCCAAGTCAGAGGCTGCAGGTTCCTCCAAATCATCTGGGAGACAAAACAAGTCTCCCAAAAAAAAAAAACACCCAGAAGCAGCCGACAGATCGGTTGCCCAAAAGGGCGAACGACCTCGTCGCTCTTCACAATAAATTTGGAGTCCTTGAGGAAATGGATGTAATACCTTGCCATTCTTCCTCACAGGTTGGAAGTGTATCACCCAATAAAAATAAAGGGAGAATATCTCCCATTTCCTTTAACAAAAAATAAGTATGGATCATCCTTCAATAATACAATGGAATTGTCGAGGTTTTAGAGTTAATTTTAACGAATTATCATTACTTATACAAGACCATAGTCCAGTAGCTTTGTGTTTACAAGAAACACATTTAAAAGAAACAGATAAGATCAATATTAAAAACTATAGCATGTATAACTATTATGCTCATACTGATAGAGCATCTGGTGGAACTTCTATAGCAATAAACAATAAATTCATTCACAGCCAAATAAACTTGAAAACAAATCTGCAAGCAGTAGCAGTACGCCTTTCCCTTGATAAAACAATTACTCTTTGTTCTGTTTATATACCCCCACACTATCAATTACAACCATTAGACCTCAGAAAACTAATAGCACAACTCCCTGCTCCATTTCTGATTGTTGGTGACTTTAATGCACATAATCCGCTTTGGGGTAGTGACAAAATCACGGATAAAGGTAAAATAATTGAAGATATTATATCGCATCATAATCTGTGTATACTTAATGATGGTTCAAACACCTATCTGCATCCGGGAAATGGCTGCTATTCTTCGATTGATATCAGTTTAGTAGACCCTTCTCTTCTTCTAGATTTAAACTGGTTGGTACATGACGATTTATGTGGGAGTGATCACTTTCCAATTATTATAACAGTAACTAAACCCTCCGAAAATAACAACGTTCAAAACTGGAAATTAAACAAGGCTGACTGGGATAAATTTTCAAATTTGTGTTTACAAAATATTTTGGTTGAAAATTTTGAAAACCATCCTGATCCTATTCAAAGTTTTACTGAAATACTATTAAATATTGCAAATGAATGCATACCTAAAACCTCGACAAATTCTATTAGAACTAAAAAACCATGGTTTACAGAAGAATGCAATGAAGCGATAAAAGCACGTAAAAGGGCAGAAAGATTATTTAATAGATTACCTTCATCAAGAAATTTAAGCAACTTCCGCGTATTTAGAGAAAAAGCTCGCAGGACTATTAATTTTAATAAAAGAAAATCCTGGAAAAAGTTTGTTTCAAACTTAAATTCACACACCTCAATCAATAAAGTTTGGAACGCAATTAGAAAAATAAAAGGAAAGGGTTCTGAAAAATATCAACATCTTAAGATTGAAAATCAAATTATTACGGATAAGAGAGAAATATCAAATGAAATAGCTAAGACAATTTCGAATAACTCTTCTACAAACAATATGAGCCCCAATTTTAAAATATTTAAAAATAAACAAGAAAAGAAAACATTGGATTTTACTTCTGAAAACAAAGAATGTTATAATGAATCATTTACTTTTGATGAGTTGCAAAAATCTTTAGATAAATCTCACGATACAGCTGTAGGACCGGATCAAATACATTATCAACTAATTAAACATCTACCTAAAGAAAGTAAAGAGTGTCTTCTGCACATTTTTAATATGATCTGGGAGGGAGGTCAATTTCCATCTTCATGGACCCAAGCTACAATAATTCCTATTCAAAAACCTGGAAAGGACCATGCAGACCCTAACAATTATCGACCAATTGCATTGACAAGCTGTTTATGTAAAACCATGGAAAGGATGATCAATGAACGCTTAATTTGGTTTCTTGAAACCAATAACATACTTACAAACATACAATGTGGTTTTAGGAAAAACCGAAGTACAACTGACCAGCTAGTACGACTGGAAACGTATATTCGAGATGCTTTTGTTAAAAAAGAGCATGCTGTATCTATATTTTTTGACTTAGAAAAAGCATACGATACTACATGGAAATTTTGTATTTTAAAAGATTTATATGATATTGGTCTCAAGGGATATTTACCTAATTTTATTAAGGAATTTTTAAATGATCGTAATTTTAAAGTGCGGTTAGGTTCTACAGTTTCAGACAATTTTGAACAAGAAATGGGTGTACCACAAGGAAGTATCCTTTCAGTCACGTTATTCAGTATTAAAATAAATAGTTTAGTTGAAGTACTTAAAAATGATATGCATGGTAGCTTATATGTTGATGATTTTGTTCTTTGTTTTAAATCTAAAAATATGAATTTTATTGAGCGACGATTACAATCATGCTTAAACAAAATTCAAAATTGGGCCGACATTAATGGTTTTAAATTTTCACAGAATAAAACAGCCTGTGTGCATTTTTGCTTAAAACGGAAAACCCATGATGATCCACATTTGCAATTAAACGGGAATCCAATTAAAACAGTTAAAGAAATGAAATTTTTAGGTGTAATCTTTGATAATAAACTCTCCTTTATTCCACACATAAAGATGCTTAAAGAAAAATGTTTAAAAGCATTAGATATTATTAAAGTTATAGCCAACACAAAATGGGGAGCTGATAAAAATACCCTTCTTAAACTTTATCGCTCTCTTGTTAGATCTAAATTAGACTATGGATGTATTGTGTATGGATCAGCAAGGACTTCTTATTTCAAGGCTCTTGACGCAATCCACCATCAAGGTCTTAGATTGTGCTTGGGGGCTTTTAGAACTTCGCCAAAAGATAGTTTATATGTGGAAGCAAATGAGCCACCTCTGGACTTAAGAAGAATTAAACTAGCTTTACAATACATAATTAAATTAAAAGCGAATACAGACAATCCTGCTCATGACTGCGTATTTCATCCTCAAAATGTACATTTATATGATAAAAACAAGAAATGCATAAAACCAATTTGTTTGCGATTAAAAAATCATATTAGAGATTCTGACCTACCATTAGATATAGTAAAATCAACTTCTCTGTCTGAAATACCACCGTGGAAATTAAGTTAACCCGTTGTTAATCAATCCCTTTCCGAACTTAAAAAATCAGAGACAAATCCCCTCGTCTTTAAACAGAAATTAGCCGAAATAAAAGATTCTAAATCTTCAACAGTAGAAATTTACACAGACGGCTCAAAGGATAAAGGCAGGGTTGCGGCTGCTGCAATTGTCAATAAAAATGTTTTTTCTGTAAGACTTCCAAATGAAGCAACACTTTTTACGGCTGAAGCTAAACCTATACAACTTGCTTTTGAATTTATTAATACCTCGGATGAAAACTCTTTTACAATATTTTCAGATTCACTTTCGTGTTTACAGTCCATACTCAACATGAACAGTGATCATCCGTACATTTTGGATATATTAAATAAGTTCTATCATCTTGCTAAACAAGGTAAAAATGTCAAATTTTGTTGGATTCCAAGCCATATTGGTATTCCCGGTAATAATAAGGCTGACAGTGCTGCAAAATCTGCTCTTCAGTATGAAATCGTACCTTTTAAAATTCCCTACACAGATCTTAAGTACTTTGTGAAACTTTATGTAAATTCTCTTTGGCAAATCTATTGGGATTTTTGTGATGGTCATAAATTGTATTCAATACAAAACAAAGTTAATCAATCATCCGACTTTGGTCTAAAACGTCAGGACGAAGTTATTTTTTCAAGATTAAGAATTGGACATTCAAGGTTTACCCATTCCTATTTAATGAGCGGGGAACATCAACCTGAATGCATATCTTGTGAATGTGCCATAACTTTAAATCATATACTTTTAGAATGTTCTGATTTCACACCTGTTCGAAATAAACTTTTTAATGGTATAAAAACGATGCATGATCTTTTTGCAAATGTAACTCCTAGCGCTATTTTACAATACCTGAAGGATACAGATTTTTACAATAAGATTTAAATGTCAATATTTTCATAAACATTATTATCTTTGTATATTTGTATTTAACTGTTTTAATTTTTAAACTCAAAGTCCGTCGGATGGGACGTTAAATGGTGCCCCGTGTCAAGGATAACAACCCCCTTGGCACGCAAAAGATCGTTTCTCTGGAGTTCGAAAAAGAGTAGGCTCACTGGGGGCCGCCAGAGAAACCAAAAACTTTCAAAACCGTTTATACAGTATTTAAATTTCTCCGCCGAAATATGGCTGAAATATTGCCGACTCGGCGTAAAAAAACAATAATCAATCAATCAATCGAAAATGAAACTCATTGTTCTTGTGGAAAGTCTTAGCAACAAACATGCCTTTACACTCCACTGATCCTCCTGGGCTGTACAGCTGATTTGTCGAAGCCTGTAGTTTGGGCTTTACTGGCAATGAATTGTACGTCGCTTCAGTTATCACGGATGTGTCAGCACCAGTGTCGATCTTAAATGTAATGTACTTCCGACACACCTTCAGCTTTACTGTCCATGCGTCTGTATTGTCCGAATTGCTCAGGTCAATAGAACCCATGTAGAATGAATCAGGTGATGAACATGCACCTTGGACTTCCTCTAGGTGTTTGGGTTTACTTCGACAAACTACCTTAAAGTGTCCTTTTTTCCCACACTTAAGACATTTCTTCCCTGATGCCGGACAGTTTCCAGGATTGTGCTTCATATTACACTTGTCACAGTTATTGTAAACTCTTTCCTTAGCTTTAGGCTGTCTGCTGTAATTGTGTTTAGGTTGTTGGCCATTCTGCTGCCTAAATCTCACTGCATCTAAGTTTTTAGATTGTAAGTCTTTAATCTGATGTTTCACTAACTCTGAATTACGTGCCATCTCGACGGCTTTCGTGAGTGTAAGTTCAGATTCAAGCTGTAGTTTCTCGCTAAGTTCTTTGTCTATAATGCCCACGACTAACCTGTCTCGGATTTGGTCGCTCTTATCTCTAAAATCACAGTGCGCCGCCAACTCGTGTAAACTTCTGACGAATTCCTCAACTGACTCTCCCTGGCGCTGGCTCCGGATGTGGAATTTGGCGCGCTCATGAATCACGTTTTTCTTTGGAACGAAATACTTATCAAAACTTTCAAGTACCTTCTTGAATTTCTTCTCATCACCATTAGCGAGTGCGAAAGACTTGAATATTCCTTCTGCCTCTGGTCCCATGG